ATATAACAAGAACGCCATGGAATACAGCTAGGGATGGAAATAATAAAATAATAAAAATAAAAAATAATAAAAATAATTCTCACGACGTTTCGGCCACAACGCAAGCAGCCGTCCTCAGGTGAAGAACAGGTCTGTCGGGGAGACAGCGTCTGAATGAGACGCCGTCCTCAGGTGAAGAACAGGTCTGTCAGAAAGACAGCGTCTGAATGAGAAAGACAGCGTCTGAATGAGACGCTGTCTTTCTGACAGACCTGTTCTTCACCTGAGGACGGCTGCTTGCGTTGTGGCCGAAACGTCGTGAGAATTATTTTTATTATTTTATTTATTCCATTCTACGTGACTTTACCGAAAGAACCAAGAAGATAAATCCCTGCAGTCACGAAAGCTTTAAATCGAAACAGCTAGGGATGTTGCTCCCCACCCAGCCCCCCCCCCCCCCCACGACTCCAAGGATCTTCCTTAAGTCTCATTAGTTTGGCTATTGGAGCCTTTTGGCATTTTACATCTGAATCTTAAACACTCCTCAACGTGGCTTGGTGTGCCTGAGGCCACTTGTAGCGAGCCCACATTAACGAGTGAAAACGCGGGGAGTTTACATTTCTTTTCGTGGCTCAGCTGATGTTGAACTCAGCTAAAAAAAGACATATGTGTGTATACGTGTGTTGTTTGGGGTACAAATATTCGCAGTCACGTGCAAAACCTGCCCGGGTGGCAAAACGCACGAGCCGCTAAACTCGGCCGTCCGGTTGGCCGTTACGAGTCTGAAATCACCCACAGCATCGCGACTAAGCTAAACTTTTTTAAACCATATTTTTTTTATATTACCAGGTAAGGTCCACTGAGATAAGTGGCTCTTCTTAAAAAGCGAACTGGCCACAAATGATAGCCTCGACGAAGTGGCTCATCGCGTGGAAATTCACAGCAGCCAAACACTGTAAACGCATGTATCTAAATGTGGAGGGGAAACCCGGAGGGCCCGGGTGAAAAAAAATCAACGCGACCACGGGGAGAGAGAGAGAGACACCGCAAACTCCAAATATACAGCAGCAGGCGTCAGCGTCGGGTTCGAACCCACGACCTCCTGTATACCACGCTAGGGAGTTAACATCTCCTAGCCACCGTGATGATAATGCTGAGAGAGAGACACCGCAAACTCCAAATATACAGCAGGCGTCAGCGTCGGGAGCGAACCCACGACCTCCTGTATACCCGGCGAGGGAGTTAACATCTCCTAGCCACCGTGATGATAATGCTGACAGAGAGACACACAAACTCATAATATACAGCAGGCGTCAGCGTCGGGATCGAACCCACGACCTCCTGTATACCCGGCGAGGGAGTTAACATCTCGCCAGCGAGAGTGGTGATGGTGAGCGAGCGACACGTGTCCGCGGAGATGACTTCATTCATGAAACTGTAAACACGGTGCCACACACACACACAAAACACCCCACCCCATCACTTGCGGCACTGCTGCTGCTGCTGCTACTTGCTGCTGCGGTGGCGTGCCACAACATGGAACTCACACAGGAGCTCTCTGTCCTAATATGACGCTTCCAGTTGGCATGTCTGGCCCAATCCTGTTCGCCACAACATGTCTCGCATTGCAACTTTCATCGCCCGTCTGCCCAGCTCCCTTGCTCCTCGTATCTTTTCGATTTAACCGCTTTTGTTTTCCCACTTGCAATGTTTTACTGCTCCGACAAAGTCGAGAGCGTAACCATTTGGAAGTCTGTCTGCCTTTCTGTGTTAAAAAAAAACAAAACCCACGAACCCATACTTTGTTTATTTTGTTGTTCACCAGCCGAACGATTTGTTTGTGCGCTGAGAAACTCTGCAAAAATGATCGTGTGCACTTTCTGAGTGAAAAGATAACAACGCGTAGTAGAGTAAACGTTGCCAGTAGATGTGTGCGTTTCTCTCTCTCTCTCTCCCGGTTGCTGTCATCCGAAAAGCCGCTCCTGTCAGTGTTGAAGATGTGCAGTCGTGGGCGTTGCCAGGGCAGCGCATTCTAAAGTGACAGCGGGGGGGGGGGGGGGGACATGGGCTTAAAAATCTCGAGGGTGTTGTACGAACGAATCCCCTGGCTGTGGCCTTTTTGGAGGAGATGGGTTCGGGGCACGAGCAAAGGTTGCAAGGCACAATCTTGACGGGGATCTCACGGCAGTAGGATAATCCCTGGAAAACTCGCAAAGAAGGAATATTGAGAATACCGCAGTTTCATTATTTTGGCCACATATATACATAGCAGGCGTCAGGGTCGGGATCGAACCCACGGCCTCCTGTATACCAGGCGAGGGAGTTAACATCTCCTAGCCACCGTGATGATAATGCTGAGAGAGAGATACCACAAACTACAAATATACAACAGGCGTCAGCGTCGGGATCGAACCCACGACCTCCTGTATACCAGGCGAGGGAGTTAACATCTCGCCAGCGTACATGCCAAATACACTTTATTTCTGTTTTTTATTATTCCAAGGGGAAAAATAAATACCACTCGTATTAGTGTGGATAAGTGATCGCTTATATGGATCTCAGTAGTTCTGTGATGAGTCTCTTCGTGAGCTGTGGTCTAAGCACGCGGTGAGAACACTGCTCGTTGCGAGAGATTGAAATGGACACTTTGGTCTTATGACATGACACTGATAGCACGAATTGCAGAATATTTGGAATAAAGGATAATATCGTTAGTTTCTCAATCCGCTGGTCCTGGTGAGGTTCGCAGCGGCAGCGTGCTGAGTCGGGCGGTCCAGACCTCCCTAAAGGATAATATATTACTGAAAATAAAGTTTGATACCTTTTGAAAGAAAAAAAAATGGCTTTGCCAGTGTGCTTGCAGCGGCAATAACATAAACCACAATTAGAGATTACAACATCTCCAGGTGTGTTGTCAAAATCAAACAAAAATTTTTTCGACGGGAGTAATTATTTCGAGCAAATTGTTACAGAATCTAGAACACAATTACCATGTTTAACATAGAGCTCTGCGATGTGTTTTCGGGTTGTAGCACGTGTTTCATTGTACACGTGGGCTTTCCCGACGTATACAATTCAGATTTTTTTTTTTATTGGTTTGTTATGGGTTAGCTGGAGGTCTGAGCTCCTGTTCAAAAATAGCTGATGATGCTGGATGTAATCTCCAGCGAAACGTCCGTACCCATTGAAATGTTCGTGGGCATTCCTCTCCCTACGACGAGTACACCAAGACCGGTAGTGCGAACTTTTAAGCAGTCACACACGTGACACTCGTCTGCGCGTCAGTTGGAGGAGGGGTTTACGGCACACACATGTTTGAAACGATGACCTCACCCAAAACAAACCGATTTTGTACCGTGTGTTGTTCGGCACCTTGTCCGACGTTTCACTCCACGTGCTGGGAGATTATTTAGGAACGGAACATCACGTGGTACAAACGGAAAACACATCTCGGCACAAACGGCAATTTTGTTTACATACACCAACTAAATATATACAGTATATAATAATCAAGTTGTGGCATATAACCTGCATATCCAAACCATCCCATCTGTGCTGGTGCGCAAATGGGGTGGGGGGGTGGGGGGCTTAAACTCAGCCTGAAAGTCACTCGTCAAACAATGCACTGTGGACACTTAGTGTCAATAAATGCAGCGGTGTACAAAAGAGTGGCACACAAAAGCAACTCCAGGCGCTCCACCGCCACACAAGAAGGGCTTCGCAACAAAAGGCTGTGTTCAAGGCTCTCTTTCTGGTGGAGAGGGGGGGGGGCACAGCAAGCCGATGCATCCCAGCAGGAATGCATCCTATGTGCCAGCTCTAATCTCAGCCCTCATTCCGATACGGTGATTTTTTTGCCACGCTCAAACAGACCGTGCTATTATTATTATTATTTAAATATAATAATAATGAAATACTCTTTTACAAAAATCCCTGGTCGTAAATCTCAAGCCAGTCGTGTATAAGTAGTTCAGCGCGTCTCGTGCCTTCGTCGTCATGATCGTCATCGCGAAGCGCAGCCGCTGTAGGCCGTAATTAAAAGTGATTTATTTGCTGTCACAAGTCAATCTGTAACGTGTTGTTCTCGGGCGGATTTGGTCGCCTCGTGGTGCAGTTCTGTAGTCTTCGTCTCTGTCTATATTGCCGACGATCGCGCCCTTGCCATTGTAGGTCCATGCGTCAGAACAGAATTCGGTAGCACTCCGAGTTGTGCAAATGCCTCTTGTGCGTGGCTAATCGAATACAAATAACACGCGTCTTTAAACAAGTCGTCCCGGCCACCTTCAAATGAAGTCCATACCAGTCGTGACCAAATAAACGTCAATGAGAGACCGTACACGAGTCATCTTGTCGTGTGGTCAAACAGTGTGCGCTGTGGACACAAAAACAGCAGTTCACGGTGCATTTTTAGTTCCGTGAGCAGTCGCTGACGCGACATTGGCCTCCAGTGGTGCGTGACTCAGGACCATTCCTCGGCTATTTGCACGAGACGAGGCTGACGAGACCAACTTACGGGGCCTGATGGATGGTGAACTATTGGGAGTGCCTCGGCGTGCAATGCATTTGTTTATGAACCAAGGGCGCAGCCACTTTGGGTGTAGTGTGGGTGTTCGGACACTCCCAACATATTTGTGTGTGGCCAAGAGGCACGCACGGACTTTGGGACAAAAGTGTTTGGATTTCTGAGTCCACAATTTTTTTTCTCCCTCCAGCAAGGTGACACTAATGCTCATTGTATTGAGGACAAAACCCTTAAATTCACAGTGGTGCGTGAATGGTCGGCTCAGCACTGAGTCAGTAACCAGTAGTTGCATAGATGTAATATAACTATAGTGCAGTAGAACTGCTTTTATACGAGCTTCATGGATCCTATCTGTAATCTAACCAACAGCCCCCAGGAATCATTTGCTAGGAGAACTTCCCCAACTATGAACCGCGTGTATGATTATTATTATTATTTTTTCAATCATTCAAATACTCTAACACTGGCTTTGTTTTCTGCCTGGTTCTCTCATTGACAGAATGCCGAGCAGTCCCATGGCTGAGATGTCTCTCTCCACGTTTTCCGGGCTTCTGCTGCTGCTGCTGATATCGCTGACGACCGCAATCCCAGCGCAGGAGGCATGTCCTACCAATTGCAGCTGCAACCTTCAAACGAACATGATCTTCTGCGTCACTAAGGAATTGTCGAAGCTCCCGTCCAACATTCCCATGGCCACTCTCCACCTCTACCTGTTCGAGAACAAAATTTCCCAACTCGCCGACTCGTCTTTCGCTGGACTCCCCCACCTGCGCACGCTAGACCTCTCGTACAACCAGATCAAAGTCATGCCGCTGGCCCTCTTCCATCCTCTGAGGGATTTGAAAAATATCGACCTGTCGGGGAATCTCATCGCCAGCGTCACCAACGAGACGTTCCGAGGGCTTGCCACCCTGGAGAGGTTGTATCTGCAGAACAACAAAATCGCAAACTTGCAGCCGGGCTGCTTTGACTCTTTGGAGAATTTGCTTGAAATAAAGCTGCAGGGTAATCTCCTGAAGACGTTTTACCCAATACGGGCGCCGAATCTGCTGCTTCTGGAGCTGAGCAGGAACCCTCTGGCGAGGCTGGAACCCCACACGTTCAAGTCGGTGAATGTGGAAATCCTCAGCCTGTCGGGAGTGGCGCTCGCTGAACTGCGAGACGATGTTTTTGACAACGTGAGCAACATGCGGGATTTGGATCTGTCCGACAACCAGCTGACGACGGTACCATCTGTCCTCCAAAGGATGTCCAGCCTCAATCAGCTGAATATTTCGAAGAATTTTGAACTGTCTCCGGTGGTCAGGGAAGACTTCAAGCCATTCCTCCGCCTCCAGGTTTTGGACGTCAGCTACTGTGGAGTGAATTTCTTTCCGCAGCGATTCTTCCAGCTCTTTCCCGTGCTCAAGGAGGTCTCTGCAGCCGGAAACCCATTCCACTGCAACTGTCAGATGAACTGGCTGGTTCACTGGCTGAGAAGCACCAACGTAGCCTTTTCAAACTTGAAGGAGACGAGATGCCACTTCCCGCCGACGAACGCCGGTAAGCAGCTGGACAGCGTGCAGTATGGAGACCTGGGCTGCCCCAAGACCACCGTAGTCACCACGACGTCCACAGCTTCTACAACCACCGCCAGCACCACCACGACAACCACCGCAACCACCACCACCAGCACCACCACCAGCACCACCTCTGCGACAACAACAACCTCACAGCCTACTCATCCACCACCTCTTCTCACCACCACCCCGCCTGAGCGCGTACTTTTATCGGACCTTGAGCCTCAAATTAGTGTTGAGGAGCCTCGCCCTTCCAAAGCGCCCGAGTCGACCTGTGAGAACTTCCACTGTCACCATGGTGGAGTGTGCAAGATGGAAAAGGGAAACGGACCATTTTGCCTTTGCAGCAGGGCTTGGCTTGGACGCCACTGCGAGAACCCAAAAGAAATTGCAGCCCCATCTACGGAGAACAATTCCGAAAAGAAGCCTTCAGAATTCAACTTGATTTCCGCCGTCTTCAGCACGGCAGTCGATATCCAGCTCAAAGACGTGCAGATGCAAGGCCCCGACCTGCGGGGATTCCAGCTGACCTTCTATGAAATCTCTAGCACCGACCATCGTCCCACCACCCTCAACCTGCCACCCAACTACTACATTTACACGCTGCGTGGCCTGCGTCCAAACTCCACGTACATGCTGTGCCTCCGGCCCATGGGCAGGAGCGGCTCCAAGGAGCAAACGGCGCAGAGGTGTGCGCAGACACAGACCCACCCGACTGTCCAGACACAGAACCTGACCCAGCACTCGCACTCCTTGGAAAACCAGCACATGTCTGTCCTGCTCGCGTCAGTGGTGTCCAGCTTAGTGCTGCTGCTCGTCGTGCTCATAGCCCTCGTGTGCTACAGAAAGCACAAGTCGAAACAGCACGTGGGCGACCCGAACTACGACGCCGTCAAGTACAACCACCACGGCGCAGGTGGGAACATGGTGCCTGGAGCGGCAGGCACGGCAGCAGAAGGGTTCCGGCCTTACATGGAAGAGGACAAATTCGTCGTGCAGAAAGCACCGCCGACGGTGTACAGCTCGCAAACGATGCTCGCGCAGCACTCGTTACAAATCAAAGATCAGACCTTCAGGCCACTGCTGGGCCACTCGAGTCTTCTATAGCATTGAAATGCGAGGACTATGAGAGGACGTTTGTTATTGGACCCTTATTGCGTGAGCACCACGAGACTGGATTGGGGGCTGCTACAACAGACTGTTGCGGAAACGCCGGCCTACGTACACATTGGCGTATAAAACCTGTACAAAAGAAGTATGACAATCATTGGACAATGTAAACGTTGACTACGATAACCCAACATCTTTTTTTTTTACAATGTAAAATGTTTATTATCATTATAAACACGACATAATGGCTTATATGAAGTTTATATTTTCTTAACATTTTCGTCAGTAGAAAGTAGAATGCATTGTTACAGTATTCGTGCAGCACTAATGAAGATGGTAATTTTGCTTTGAGGCGAACTGCATTTCTTTGTGTTCATACATTTCGTCTCTTGTTCACTAAATGTCAGTCGGATTCAATTTAACAGCGTATTGCCTACAGTAGAAACTTGATTAACAAAAGACAATATGGCGTTTTCATTGCATCAAATATTGGCTGGATTTGATTTTAATTATCAGAACAATACTGATACAGTGCTATCTTGTCTACTAGATAACACCAGAATAATTGCTAATTGGATCCAAGGGCACACGTGACTAAATTGGCGCTTATGATTGGTCACAATGAAGGGGTTGTGACGGTGACAGCTGTGATTTCTTATGGAAGTGTTGTTTAGTTTTATGTTTGATAAAAAATACACATTTTCACAAGGTGAACGTTCTTAAACTTGTTAAGCTGAAGCAGCATGATGATGATACATTTTATAGAAAGGTGTTTTTGGTTTACTGGAAGGTGATAAGTGACATTTAAAAAAAAATGGACGCATGCTTTCCCCTGTCGCTGTATTATGGCACTTTTTCTTGTCCTCCTGTTGGTTATGAATGTTTATTAACCCTACCGACTACGTCGTCTCAGAAACTTTGAACTTTTCAATGACATGTGAGCCTCCGTCTAACAGGGTGAAACTCTGCAGTGCATTGCCGCATCGTTGGACCCGTCCGGCGACTCTTTATACGTTGAAAATACCTGCGAACGACGCTTCGTTCGTGTTTTTGGTACTCATTTTCAAAGCAACTTTTACTTAAAAGTGACCGTAACGCTGCAGATAATTGTATCGGTCGTTGAGCCTCAAATTAGTCCATTCGAAAGCGCCCGAGTCGAGCCGTGAGAAGTTCCACTGTCACCACGCTGGAGTGTCCCAGATGGAAAAGGGAAATGGATCATTTTGCCCTTGCAGCAGGGTTTAGCTTGGGCCGCACTGTGAGATCCCAAAAAACAAATCGCAGCTCCATCTAACGGAGAACAATTACGAAAAAAAAAACCGCCTGCAACCTTGATTTCCGCAGTTTGTTCAAGTATGGAAATCGATATGCAGCTCAAAGAAGCAGCAGATGCACCACCCCGACCTGTTCTGTACTGAATACGGTGCAGAACGGCTGTTTTTAAAATCGTACATAATATCAGGGGTGTAACAATTACTCTGCAGAATGGCTGTTTTTTTTAAAATCGTACATAATATCAGGGGTGTAACAATCCTCCACCCCCCTGCCGCCATGTTGTTTAGTGAGCCGTTATAATTTCGACAACCATTGCAACACCACGCGATTTCATTAACGTGGCTGGTGGAGTCACGTGAACCGCGCTACGATAGAAGGAATCAAACACCGCCGACGATTACACGCGTCCGACGTGCGTGCATCGTGTCCCCGAGAATTTGATGTTCACCAATCGGCGTGTCCGTTACACGCCTATTTCATAAGCAGCGATCCATTTATAGATAGCCCACGAAAATAACGGTGAGAAATTACAGTGGCAACAACATTTTATCTCAAGGGCCTCCTTCTTACACGACGTCTCGCACCGACGTTAATACACCTGTTAGACTCAGACTCGTCTTTTTATTTCAGCTGGTGAGGTACATTGAGCTCAGCAGCTCTTTTACAAATATGACTCCAACCCAAGACTGCCTGGCAGTGGTGGCAGTTACAGGACATCATTGCAGGGAGGTGATTGTGAAAACTAACAAGAACAATAGCACAACAACAAAACTCATGCCAGAACTTGCTGCAAACAGCAGAAGCAATGATAGTGCTTAAGATAGAAATAAAATAAAACGGTGCCAAAAATCCTGTCACTGACGCATTGTAAATACACCGCCTGTACAGCCTCAGACATACCAGAGCTTAGTTATACAAAGCATTCACAATTGGGGCAGAGATATTCGTGCAGTATATTTCGTCTTAAAACGCGTGCATAAAAGGAGGCAGATTTTGGTTATCGGGACATTCCAAAATGTTGGTATTGCACAAGAGAAGGCCCTGGAATCAAATATTTTAACTCTCATTCAATATGTGGAGCCATCACTTTGACAATACTCAAACACTGGGCAGTATTAAAGTATTAAATATCCCTTATTTAAGCCAGGAAGTTAAATATAGACCCGTCGAGACACATTAAACATCGCCTCTTTTGAATAATTCAAACATTTTCAATTGAAAAAAATCGACACAAAATTTAAATAAAATTCACAATTCAAAAAAATGTGAATTGCACTTAAAAATGTTTTTTTTTTAACATACAATATTAAAGAGGGTCATAATAAATCAGCGAAGTATCTATAAATGGATCATGGTGCACGACTTAAACACGTGCTGTACACACACGCTAGGTGTAGCCCAATGCGCTAGACATGGCCCATTGGGTCAGTCACGATCTCGTTAGATCGAGGAGAGCAGCGTTGTTTGTTTGGATCGCGGTTAATGACGGTGATCACTTGTTATTGTTCTGGGCCGCGAATATACAAACATTGCGTTCATTCCGTTACTTCGCCGGCCTTTTAATTCCTCCTTGTTTATAACACTGTACCAAAGATATGGTTTTGACTTTCACTGCCTTGGTATGCAGCGCATACATCGAGTTTGTACATAGAAATATCTTAAGGTAACGTTGTTGTGTTACTGTCGGTGAATTGTCGTGTAACATTTGTACATAATAAAGAAAACATTTCGGAGTACTAAGGAAATCATATTCTCGTGGTTTTATACGGAACACCTTGTGTGCTGTTACGCTGCAGATGCTTGCCGTGATGAAATGGTGAGCACACATTGACTCACAATCCAGAGGTTGACAGTTTTTTTGTATCGCCCTGGCACGGTCGTTGAAACCGTGTGGCAGGTTTATGAAATGCCTCCGCCTATGCCACTCAGCAGTACAAATGGGTAAAACCAAGGCCGTAATTATAATATATATTAAAATATATATTAAAATATATATTAAAATATGTTCAAAATGTCCCCTCCAATATATTGCTATAAAAATTTTTCTATGCTATGTAAATAAAAACAACAATTTGCTAAACCTTGGCCACAATATCTGGACTTGTCTTTATATAAATCAACGCATAGATTTCTGTTTATATGATTATGGTTGTACTTTATTAATCCCTAATCTCTGCCATTACATACAATGAATCAAGAAATGTTAAAAAAGTAAAAACAGAGCAATGTAATACAATACACTATTAGGCATTATTGTAAAAAAAGAAATAGAAAGTCCTTCCCATGTGTTAGTGAATTTTGTAATATTTTAGGCAGAAAATGAGTTTAAAAATTTAGATTTTTTTCTGGGTTGGTACCCCCAGACACCCTAGAAGATTCGGTCCCCCCAATGTTGACTCCATGGCTACGGCCTTGAGTTTTAAACCTCCACTTAAGTTGGGATACATTTTCAGAGGAAATGATACGTAGGTTTTCCAGACGGATATTGATGATTAATGATTTGATTCGATTGGGTTATTGCCGTGTAAAAATGTGTACATGTGTTGAGCCAAGTCGTTAAAAGCGTCACGTGAATCAAACGTGCCTTATGTATTACTGCTTCAGCACCAAAACCACCACCGGTGTTTGTTGTTGTTGTAAAGAATTAACTCACAACATTGAACTGGGTAATTACGCCTCGCCGGCGATTACGCCCGTCGTCATAATCAGCTTGTAAACGGGAGCTCAGATCTCGTCCTGATCCGGGTCCTTAAGTAGATGCCATCACGTCATCGTCATGCACGTGATCTAATTTAATCATTCGTTGAATGGCAGGCGAAGTTAGTGTAATGACGGGAAACTATGTAGCCAACGGTGAAAATAGGCTATCCTTAATTGTGTCAAGGTGTACTGTATATACGTAATGAAGCTGGAATGTGAACGATATTGTAAGTTTAGTTAAGCGTTTAATAAGATTTTAACTGTGCCGATGACGTCATGACATCTACTTAAGGAGCCAGATCAGGCCGGTCTGGCTAGCTCGGTTAAATGTAGATATTTATGTCAAAGAAATGAGGTCAACCCGATTATGAATAAAATTGATGACACTCCCTTACTATCTAGCCACCTAAAAGCTATTATAATTGGTGAATTAATTGCAGGCCTTTTGTCAATCATGCGCCTTGTGGGAGAGGGAGGGCAATTCACAGAGTGTATCAAAGCCCTTGTACAGAAATAAAATCAGAATTTAAAAAATACGTCTAAAGATGTATTTTGTGTGTGTCCCTCGACACCCTCGAATGCCCTTGCCAATGAGATGTTCTAACTCAAGGGATTATATTTTAATGAACGGTTAAAGAGAAAAACAAAGAAAATCTATCGAACTAAAATGTAACAATATGTTGAGTACAGTTTAACACGCAGGCTTTCGCAACGAATATTATTCATAATCAACGTTTTTGGGTTTAGATCGCGTTATTTATACATGTGTCGTAACCCTCCACCACCCGACACGGCCGATCGAATTGCCCGATGATGCTGGATGCAATTACCAGCGAAACGTCGTACTCAAAGTGTAAATGTTGTGGTTTCACGCTTCAACACACCGGTGGGCTAAAGCAGTGAACTATTTGTCTTTTGTCAACGTGACACTTTTTTACTGATTGGCCGTGTCGGGTGGTGAAGGGTTACGACACATTTATAAATAACGCGATCTAAACCCAAAAACGTTGATTATGAATGTTGAGTACAATGGACACTGCCGGCGCTGCCATGAAAGAGGTTTGATTTTCTTGAACAGAATGCTGGGTGGCGCTTTGCTGCTGGCATAGCTCAACAGCGTGACTTGTGCAGAGACCAGCTGCCTCTTGTGTGAACAGAGATGTTTATTCTCTCGCATACAACTGCAATGGATTTATTGAATTATACAAGAGGCTTATGAATCGAATTGGCTTTCCTATGTCGCTTACTTTTAATACACATTTTGTAATGATCAGACGCAAACAAACGCAAATGCATAGCCTTAGTGAGCTGCCAATTTATTTCTTGGGAAAACGCATTGAGCATACGATGCAACGTTAGAGAACATACAAGCTGAACTGCATTAAACTGTTTAGCCTGCGCCAGGCTCAAGAACCCTCATCCCCCGTGCTTATGGTAGGTCACATTCTCAGGAAGATCAAGCGATTAATATAAGATTCATGAGACGTATACATCTCTGTTGCTCATGACGTGAGACTTTGTGAATCTTTTCCATATAATACATACAAGCAGATGCCCATTCCGTGTCGCCACATACAAATAGTGAAATATGTTCTAGTCCAGTGGCCTAGGGTGATTGCTTCCCAGATCAATAATGTCCAGCAGCACGTGTCTAAGCAAGCAAAACTCTGAACCGGTTTTGACCTTCTGGGTTTCATCAGCAGTCAGGCATGTCAAATGCTGCTGGGTTTGCAGATTTTATTGGCAAGAACATTCCGTTTAAGCAACGGTCAGGGGCCATGGTTTGTTTCCAACCCGCGAGATAAAGGCGTCCCGAAGTTACCACCATCCGTCACGATGCTGCCATGTAATAACCCCTGTACAGGTATTCAATTTAACATAAATGTCAATCTTCTTGGTTCTTTCGGTAAAGTCACGTAGAAGGGAAGTAATAAAATAATAAAAATAAAACATAATAAAATAATTCTCACGACGTTTCGGCCACAATGCAAGCAGCCGTCCTCAGGTGAAGACAAAGCGTGGTGGTGTTTCATTCAGACGCTGTCTTCCCGACAGACCTGGTCTTCACCTGAGGACGGCTGCTTGCGTTGTGGCCGAAACGTCTTGAGAATTATTTTATTATGTTTTATTTTTATTATTTTATTACTTCCCTTCTACGTGACTTTACCGAACGAACCAAGAAGATGAATCCCTGCAGTCACGAAATCTTTAAATCGAAATATAAATGTCAATGGTTATAAGTGCAAGTCTTCAATGGAGCACTGACTTTGCGATGGCAAAGAAATTGAGAGCCTTGAAAAGACAGGGCAGCTATACTGGATAGGGGCAACCACATCTTGTCAAGTACTCAGCAATTCAACCCGCACTGATCAGTGGGCTGAAATTTGCTCAGGTAACCCGCATAACGCTTGCGAGATAGAAAAAGGGGCATATGGATAACGGAACAAACCTCAATAGGTAAAAAAATAAATGAAATAAATGAAAACAACTAAATTAAATCACGACGTTTCTGGCGCAACACAAGCGTCCGTCGTCAGGTGTAAAAAAAGGCACAGCAAAATAACTGTTGTGATTTAATCGATTTATTTTCATTTATTTCATTTATTTTTTACCTACGTGACTTTACCGAAAAAACCAAAGAGTCTGAATCCTTGCAGTCACGAAAACTTCAAATCTATAAACCTCAACAGCATGATATCGTGTTGACTGTTAAGAAAAGTCAGTGGGCTTGGGCAAGACAATGTGCAATGGGCAACACTTCTGGCAAAGATGGGTAAAGAAGAAGAAAAATTCATCCGAGGAAACCACTTGGCATGGAGATGGAGCGACGGGAGAGATCAGGTTCACGTGGAAAGGCGAGACGGATGGTGGTTTCGCTGGCGGGATGATGACGGATCAGGGAGGCCTTCATCCAGCAGTGCATAGACCGTGGCTCACGACGTTGATATCAACATCGATCAACCCGCCACACTCTACACCCGATGAATGGACGGCTCCTTAAGTGGAATTCTTTGCAAGTGAATACATACGGCGGCGTAGCGTGCGCTGCTTTTTTATTTGATTTTACAGCTGACATGATGTTTGGGTTACATTCGAAGGCCTGAAAAGGCTAAAGAAAAGCGAAAGTTAACGGATTGAGCTGATAAGACTCCGACGACGTGTGTGTGTGCGTGCGTGCATATCTGATGTGGGTCTGTGCACGGTATGACAACGATGTATATTATCTTTGGCAAACAGTTATACAGTTGTACTGTAGTTGGAAAGATACCAAGTGTATGTATGGCTTGTTCTGGGAGAATTCATAAAGGCTCCTATTTCCAAGCATGTGGGTCCACTCTGTACCAGTCACTTCAACACAGATTGTCACGTGGCCCAATAAAAGTAAAATCGAAGACATTTATAATTTGAACAAGGCACAGTCGAGTAAATTGTTGCGCCTATAATCACCGGTGATGACCACCACCTATGACCAAAATCACCTGGAATTTCATGAGATCTGGGAAGCTAAAAGCAGAGTTGAGCCTGGATGGTGCTTGCTTGGGTGACCGCCACGGGAAGGTGGTCCGTACGGTTGACTACGTATGTGCGAAAGAAGACGTTCAACAAACTGTTCAACGTACAATTAAACTTGCAGTATCAACGCACGCACGGTGGTTGTGGATGATGTCCCCTGTATCCACAGGGTTCGCCGGTGGCTGGAACTGCTTCCATGTGGCACGGCGGTTCCCCAACCTTCTCGAATGTGCGGGCCCCTTTTAAACCTCCAAACTTTTCGCACGACCACCACACGCCGCTGCTAGCTATCTAAAATTACTCTTTGGTTCTTTCGGTAAAGTCACGTATAAAGAGAAAATAATAAATTAAGTAATAATAATGTATGCTATTATTTAATTTATTTTTTCCTCTTTATACGTGACTTTACCGAAAGAACCAAAGAGTAATTCCTGCAGTCACGAAAGCTCCAAATTAAGTGTTCTATCTAAAATTGTACATTTCCATGGTGGGGATGGTATTATTTTTCTTCTTATCCGCGGAACCCCTGGAGTAGCCTCGCGGACGATCAGGGGAGAGGGGGGAGTCTGACATAAAAAAA